AAAAAAAAAAAAAAAAAAAAAAAAAAAAACACTTTTGTGTTGCAATCGAAAAGAAAACATTTTTTGTTGTTGTTGTGAACTAGTTTGAATTAATCAAATAGAAGACGCTAGCCGTATGTAGTATCTACGGCCTAATATATATATGTATATATGTATACATATACGTTATATATACGACTTTTGAACACTTTCGTTTGCTGTTGTTGTTGTTGGTTGTTGGTTGCTGCTCGCATTTAGAGCAAGCGCCTAGGCACAGCTGTTGCTGTTGTTATTGCTTATTGTTTTGTTGTAGGTTTGGTTGTTGTTGGTTGTTGTTGGTTCTTGGTAGCTGCTTAAAAGTCCAGCGAGCGTCTAGACGTTGCCGCTGCTCTAGCATCCGTTGCTGCTGTTGCTGCTGCTGCCGCCTCCTCGTCAGCCACATCGTCGAAGCCATACCAACATCACATGACCATTATTTGCAGCGCTACTCATTGATCTATGGTGCGATAGATGCGTCGCTGCGGCTCGGGCGTATAATGGATGCGCGTGCGAAAATGCTGCGGCGAGCCGGGCACACTCTCCGATCCGCGACGCGGCGGCGGCAAAGGCGGCGATGCCGAAACATATCTGAAACGGCGGATAAGCAAACCAATTAGAAGATTCCCAGAGCCAGAGGCTGCCATACTCACCGTCGCTGCAGCAGCGGTGAGCCCGCTGGCTGGCCGCTTAGCTCGAGCAGATTTTTGCGCAGCAGCAGCGGCGACTGGCCGCGATTGTAGCGCGGCGGCGGATCCGGACTGCGATGCCGCCTATCCAGTCCCGCCAGCAAGTGCGGGCTGGGCGGTGTGCTGCTGCTGCCGCTGCTGTGGTTGCCGGCAACAATGCCGCTGCTGGCATAGCGCCGCAAGAAGCCACTCGTCGCCGTCGCAGCGCCGCCTCCACCCAAGCCATGCGCCACCGCAGCACTGCCCGTCAGTGGCTCCGTGGTGGGCGAGGTGCTCTGGCTGGTGTTGTGGCTGTGGGTCTGGCTGTGGCTGCTGCTGCTGCTGCTCGCCGCCGACAGCGTGCGATAATAATACGTTTTGGCTGTCGCATTGTGGTTGTGGTTGTGGCTGCTGCTGCTGCTGCTCGCCGCCGACAGCGTGCGATAATAATACGTTTTGGCTGTCGCATTGTGGTTGTGGTTGTGGCTGCTGCTGCTGCTGCTCGCCGCCGACAGCGTGCGATAATAATACGTTTTGGCTGTCGCATTGTGGTTGTGGTTGTGGCTGCTGCTGCTGCTGCTCGCCGCCGACAGCGTGCGATAATAATACGTTTTGGCTGTCGCATTGTGGTTGTGGTTGTGGCTGCTGCTGCTGCTGCTCGCCGCCGACAGCGTGCGATAATAATACGTTTTGGCTGTCGCATTGTGGTTGTGGTTGTGGCTGCTGCTGCTGCTGCTGCTGGTGGTGGTGGTGTTGGTGGTGCCATTGTTGCTTAGGCTGCGATAGGCTGGCGGTGCTGGTGGCTGCGACTGTGGCGCCAGCGCCGACTGCTGTTCATTGCCATTGGCCAGCGTCTGGGCCGTCGCTGTGGAATTCAATTGGGTTTTAACATAGGTCGCAAATTGTCGCTTCATGGCGCCGGCGAGTGTATTGAACCAGCCTTTTTGATTGATGGATTCATGATTGATGTGCAGTGCGTGTGTGGAGCAAGCGTGCATGGGCATGTGTGCATGTGTGTGTGTGTGTGTAAATAAAGAGAAAGAGCATAAACAAAAAGCGCACAAGCGAGCCAAAGAATTAGTTGAGAGCCAAACACAAAAACGTAGGTAAAAGTGCTCTGGTCGGCTATGCACGACCAGTAGATACCCTGCAACCGGAAACTGTCATAACTTCGTTTAGATATACAAATACACACACACACAGACGCACACACACATATACATGCACTAAATCAGGTAACTTTTGATTTTTAGGGTGACCATATATAAGAAAATTTATAGAAATGAAGCATAATCTGGTCTAAGACCTATGATATGCTTGCTGATTATGTCTAAATGTGTAGGTGTGACTTAGCACATTCTACATTTATAGCTTTAGGTATGTTATATCACATCATTCATACACATCAGTTTAGCTGAGAGTGCTTAAGCTCAGTCGATTCTATATGCCGATTAGGTCTTCAATTCATGATGAAAGGGTAAATTTTTCAACGTATAAATGTTATCGATAACTGTAACTACCATATTGTTAGCTAGTAACACTCTGGTTTGGTCACCCTATATGAGATTCTGAAAATCCATTTCGTAGTTTACAAGTTCGCATAGCAGGCAAACATTACTGGATTAGTAAAGCGGATCGATTCGATTGTTATCGAAGTGCAGTGAGTTATCGGAATGACAATTTTATATTTGAACTAGCTATACACTAAATTTATATACACTCATACAAACACACAAACATAAGTAGATCAACTAAGCTAATCGATCCGATTGTTATCGATAGAACTAGATATACACCATATTCAAGTCTCAAATTCCTGTAGTTAACGACTCCGATCGGACGAACAGACGAGCATGCCACAATCGAGGCAGTTTATCGTCCTTACAAGGACATATACATACATATATACAAACATACATATATACACTTAAGCATATTACCCACAAGTTTCATTTGCAATGATTTCATGATATATACAAATAACAAAGCAAACGCAAACTCAAACAAATTCAAGCGCAAACATCATAATGCATAGCAAAAGTGCGTGACATAGCAGGCAGCTTTCTGTCTGCTACACTCACCGGCATCCGCTTGCGTGCTGTAGAGATGCGGCTGCTGCTGCTGCTGCTGCTGCTGATGCTCTCTGGCTTCCAGATTGCTGCTCGTCTGCTGGCCCAGCAGCTGGCGACGTGCATACAATTTGCTCAGCTTGCTGCCAGCTACCTGCGCCGTGCCATAGTCCGGCTGCAGCTGCTCGGGCGATCTGCTGGGGGGCAGGCTGCTGCTGTCGCCAGTTGCTGCTGCTGTTGGAGCCGCTGGTGCTGTAGTGGGCGTCAGCGGCAATGGCTGATATTGCAACTGGGCCGCAGTGCCCACACCAAAGTGTCCGGCGGCTGTGGCACAGGGAGAGGCGGGCGCTGCGCTGGCTATTTGGGAGCACGTCGACTGCGTCGAGGACTGACTAGAGGTGGAGTGCGACGACGGTGGCGCCACATAGTTGCTGTGAAACGGATTCGTGCTGGTCGTAGCTGTTGCAGCCGGCGCAGCACGCAGCATCGTTGGCGTCAGCGGCGGCGCCGGCGCCGGCGGCGACTGCAGAAAGTGATAAAGCTGCGGCGACTGATGGGACTGTGGAAGCTGTTGGGATTGAGGTTGCATCTGATAATGCTGTGGGAGCTGTTGGAATTGCTGCTGCTGTTGCTGTTGCTGTTGCTGTTGCTGTTGTTGTTGCTGTTGCTGTTGCCGCTCGGCTGCCTCTTTTTCACGCAGCTGATTCTGTTGATGGTAGAAGCGCTGCAACACTGCATAGACAGAGATGGAGAGAGCATGAGTATGAGAGAGTGAGAATATATATATATATATAAAACGATTTTAAATTGCAATAGAATAACTAAAAGGGAACTGAGAAAATAAGAAAAGCTATACGAGGCAGTTTGAGTTAAAGATTAATACTAGACACACCGAAAGATCAACGTAACAAATAAATCTAGTAATAGGTCTAAGGTCTGAAATCTAGTCTAAGCACGTGGATTTCTGATTTGATTTGTTTTCGCCCAGCTACAGACACGCCTATAGAGCTATATCAGAGTTAAGTTACACACATATATACATATACAGTAGAATCCGGTTATAGCGACTTTACTTATAGCGTCCATGCTGGTCCCAAGACAAACTTATGTGGGCAAACCTGGAGAGTTACAGCGTCTTTCAGATTTAACAAGGGTCCCTGGAGCGCCGATATAACCGAATGCTATATATATACATAGGGTAGAGTCCGTATAATGGGAAAATTGGAATATAATTAAGCTGTCTATATATGCAGGTCTTTCAAGAACCTCTCTGTATCATCAGCTATCTATCTACAGCGGCTTCGTCTTCTCCTTTTGACTTCTGCTATGGAGCGGTATATACTACTAATATATGATTAGACTTATACAAATTACATTAAGAGAATATCATCATAAAAAAATTAATTAATTAGATAATTATGAACACGAAACTAAGGTAGAACTACTTTCAAGCCAAGCAACCTGAGTTTACTGTGACACATGGACAATCTGCTTAAGCTGATCTACAAATGATTTATATATAGTAGAATGCCGATAACTCGAAATGACAAGGGATCCGGTTTTTTTTATCGAGAATAATTGAGAACGAATATCCTTCGAGGGGATAGACATTTTTATGATTTATCGAAAAGTTTCGATTTAACGGGGTACGAGTTATCGAGACTCGACTCTATATATGTTTATGTATCTATCTTTAAAATGTTTTACAGCACATCAAAAATCTGTAGTGCAGCTTAAGCAGCCTTGTATAACTTATTGTATAACTTATATACTAAATGTCCCTCACCTATGGGACTCTGATTGCCCGGCTGCAATCGCTGCTGCTGTTGCTGTTGCTGCTGTTGTTGTTGCTGATTGCTGAGCTGCAATGTTGTTGGCAACGTTGTTGTGCCTGTTGCTGTTGCTGTCGCTGTCGCTGGCTCCATTATCAGATGCTTGCGCTGCAGCGTGGGCGAACTGAGCGCCAGGTTAACATTATCAATTCTACTATCACAGGTGTCGTAGGGCAGCCGCCATTTGGGCGTGGCCAACAGTTCCGTGGGCGTTTTCACTTTCCTATTGTGATGCGGCAGTGTTGTTGGTGTTGTTGTTGCTGTTGCTGTTGCTGTTGCTGCTGTTGGTGTGGCTGCCGTTGGTGTTGTCGCTGTAACAATGGGCTGATGTTTCTTCTGGCTGAACGGCGATGAGGTTAAATTGCGTAAAATCGATTGACCTGCAACAGACAAAAGGCATTAGCTGGTGCACGTGACTGCAATTGCCAAATGCCATATGCACATACCTATGCTGCTGAAAACAGACTCCTTCTTGGGACTCTCGTCGTGGTACTTGTAGTGAGAGCCATTGCTCAGCTTGCGCTGCATAAAAGGCGACTTGCGATAGAGCTTGCCAATGTCATTGTGCCCGCCAGCAGCCGGAACAGGGACAGCAGCGCTTGACGGCGGCGACAGCGGACTGGCGCCGCTGCTGCTGCTGCCGCTGCCACCGCTGCTAAAGTAGTTCAATGTGTTTGCCGCCGACGTTGCTGCCGTTGCTGTCGTTGCCGTTGCCGTTGCTGTTTGTTGAGGTAGTTGTGTGGCTGATTGTATGAAATACTGCGTAACCGGCAACTGTTGCTGTTGCTGGTGCTGCTGGTGCTGCTGATGGTAGCTTGGAATCTGTGTGGGTTTTATTGTCTTCAGCGTTTGTGTTTGCGTTGGACTACGCGCTGCTGCTGCTGCTGCTGTGGCCGTTGCAGTTCTTCCATACAATGTGGCAGCTTCCTTGGCGCGTGTTGCTGCTGCTGTTGTTGTTGTTGTTCCTGTTCCTGTTGCTGTTGCTCTGCAAGTAATTCGAATGTGTTATTGATTGTTGCCCACAAATTATCAAACGACAACACACACACACACAAAATGTACGCCAGCATGGCAGCGAAAGAGTGAAAAAGACACAAAGAGAGCAAGAGACAGAGAGAGAGTGACAGAAAGAGAGAGGGAGAGATAGAGTTTGTGTGTAATGCGAGTGAGTGAAAGCAGGAGGCATGTGTGTGTGGATGTGTGAGTGTGTGTGTGTATGCTAGATGGGATATATAAGACATATATATATATATATATGTATATATGTAAGCTAAGCGAGATCAATGAGAGAGTGAAGCGTATGAATGAAAATGGGAGCAACGCACTAATCAGAGAAAGCAAGAGATGAAACAAGAGAGAGAGAGGGAGATCTAGATTTGACGCTAACTAAAATAACTGCAATTATTGACACAGATAATCTTTAATACTTTCGATTAAAATCGATATCGATCGATCGTTTGATTGGCATCTATAACTAACTCTAGCTGGATAATACTTCTTAGTAGACTTATCGCTATATAGTAAGATCTAATGATTATACATTGTACATCGAGACATAATTAGGATATAAAAATCGATAACTATCGTTAGTCATAGTTACTCGTGATATATTCACTGAAATCTGCTACACTTTTAGCATTATTCGACAATTATACCTTTGAGTAAACTTGTGGATATTATTCGCCTGCTATCGTTATCGCAATCGATAGGTTTCCATTGTTCTCCTTTTTTTAAGGCTGGTTATCAATAATTTTCTGTATCCTCATAAACTCCTACTAAAGCTGTCTCTATCTCCCTCCCATTCTTCACAATCCATCGTAATTGCCAAAAAGTGTTCTATTGCAATGGATCAACAAATTTTGAGACGCTAGATGGCGCTGAAAAACACCCCAAGAATACAAACAAAAATGGCCTAAAGAAAGAAATGAATACGAATGGAATGAAACAAGCGAAAGGCTGAAACATGATAAATACATAAATACACCGTACATAGATTAAACTAGAAATGTGTATATACTTTACAAATATATTGATATATATACAAAAGCGATATGTGCAGTATGTGATGGCATTGGAACGAAACGAAACGGAATGAAACAGAACGAAACGAAGGCGCTGCAGACATTTATGAAGCGTAACAAAGGATGAAAATGTATAAAAATAAAACCAAACGAAATTTTCAGAAAAAAAAAGAAATTAAAAACAAATAAAAGCTTTACCTCGATTGATGTTTGAAGTCGATATTTATTTATTGAATTTATTTTATTTTTGTTTTTAA